GGGGGGGGGGGGGGGCTCAGCCAGCAGCTTGTTCATAGAGATTTCCGATATGGGGGACGGGAGGTCAGTCTCATAGAACCGAGGCTTTGTTGATGGGTTTTTGCCTTTTTGGCCCTTCACTTGGAATACAACTTCGCGCCAAGCAATGTTCACATGCGTGCGGCGAGTCGTACCGCCCCCAGCGCCCGGAAAATCTGGCGGACACCGTCAGCTGTCCACGAATTGGATGAGGACGGGGCGTCGATGAATGGGTACGGGGGCGGTGCCACGGAGATGGCGACACGGAGATGTCCAGCGTGGACCGTGGAGTGCATGCAGGGGAAGTCAATCCACGGCATGACCAAGTGGGAAGAAGAAAAAAGTTGTTCTTTGCAACATTTGAGTCGGGATGGCATCATTGCGAGCAATACGAGCTTTTTCGCCTTTCTGTCACATTTGCATTCCATACTCTGCGCTACAGGTTTGCAAAAGACAAGATATCACGGGTAGCCATGGAGGGCAAAAAGTTGGTTGTGGTGATGGTACATGTTTTTTTCGCACGGCTGTAGCCGTGTTTCGTTCGTCAAATAGGGTTAGGTATGGCAGGAGTAGCTAGAATGTCTTGACTTTTTGTTCGCGTGTTTCCCCTTTTCCCCCTTGGGCTCAAGTGGCCCATCTCGAGTCATCCGCTCGCTGGTTATTGCCCCGTTCGCTGATCGCTGTAATCCCACTTTCATAGTCGTCAAGTTCCAAAATAGATCGGATAACAGGAAAAAGAAAAAAAGTTCCCAAGACCTCCACTCGCGCGTATACTGACTCGCGAAGTTGTCTCTGTCTCGCCGCGATGATCCGGTTCATGTCAAGCAAGTGCCGATCGAAGATCTCAACCGCATCCATCCAGGCTTTATTGTCTCAGAACATGATCCACTCAACTTCAACGCCAGGTCCGCCGATGCACCGCGTCCAGTTGAAGGGGCCGCGGCGCATCGCCTCAACCCGCGCGGCGCCAGGGCTGCGTGCCTCGAGCCCCTCCTTCCAGTCACCAGCCCACAGGCGCTCGAGCACATCGAGTGCTGCAAGATTGTTCATGTAGCCCGATCGTGTCATAATGTCTCGGCACTTGCTGCGTACAATGTTCTGCTGCAGCTCATTGACGCACTCGCTGCCCGCGACAAAGAGAGGCCAAAGCAGGAACTTCTCTGCAGAGGAACCTGCCTCGAGAGACGTTGCGTAGTATACCACCTGCGAGACCAGGTTCTGGAAGTTGCTGTGGTTCGACGGCACATTGGGCGACGCAAGACGCTCCGTGTACAGCAGAGCCGCGTAGCGAACGCCTCGGAGAGGGAGCCAAGGTCGCGGATCTGCGAGGGTGTCGCCGGCGAGGGCAGCGAGGCCTGGATGCGGGAGGCGTCGAATTCCCACGACTGCAGCGGCGGAGGCGGTGCCTCCTTCCACTCGCACCAGAACGTATTGCGCTGCTCGTCGTACGAGGCAGACGAACAGACGGCCGAGTTGAGAGGCTCTTCATCATCGAGTGTCGTGCCAAAGCCGTTGCCATCGAAGCGGTGACCACCGCCAAGGCCGTACATGTCGCCAAGCTGCTGCTGGTGGAGGTTGCCGATGCTACCCTTGTAAGCATGGCCCAGGGGCGAGCCGAGCGGGGACTGCGAGCGCGACGGCACGTTGCGCGGCAATGTGCTGCTCGAGGTATTCTGAACGGGACGGTGTTGTGAGAGGAGGTTGAGGCGGCCAAGCTTGCTGATAGTTTTGAAGAGCTCACGATCGCAGCCCACGAGGTTCTCGGCGCCTGGCGGCAGGAGAGGAGCGTCGGGTGCAACACCAAAGAAGCCGGTGAGTTGCGCTTCGCGGTCGTTGATACTGGCCGAGATGGCATCAAAGTAGGTGAATATGGCCTCCATCCAGGCCGAGTCGCGCGACGGCGCGTACTGTTGCGACCTGCGGCGGATGGCAAGGATCTTCTTGACGCCTGCGAATTGAGTGTGGAATTTGGCTATGCCCGATTCCACCATACGGTAGTGACACAGCAGGAGAATTGTGGCAAGGACCGAGTCGTGGCTGGACTTGACAGGGTCATTGAGCTGCTGGTTCAGGAGGTGCACTGCCAGATTGCGGTGCTGGTATTCTTCGGAAAGAGACTGATCCTCCGGCTGAGCATCGGTCATGCCATCGGCCGCGGACTTTTCAGCCATCAGTTTCTCAGACAGCTCGCGTGTATCCTGTCCCAGGCTGAGTCGCCTCTTCATGCGGAGGTTGCACGCTGAGAGGGCGCAGATGGCATGTTGCAGGCTTTGGCTAGCCTGAGCCAACTGAAGAATGTGATCCCTATATGGGTTGCTGGGACTGTCGATGAAGACCATGGACTGGCACATGGTGTTCTTGTAGTAATCCATGAAGAAGGGCATCTTCGCAATGAGCTCTGAGCTCACGTGGATCGGCTGCGGCTCCATCACCGTAGGCCAGTGAGCAGAGGTAGGCTCGGTCTGGCGTGGAGACATCTCCTCAGGGGGAGGCGAAGGCCATATTGAGCCGGTAGAGGTGCAGCTGGTGCCGTAGGCATCCATCTCAGGGACGTCTTTGATCATGCAGTCAGTATGGATATCGTCTAGGGCGGTTGGATTAGGATGGGTGGGAAGGCTTACTCAGACCGTCGCAGTCACGCATCAGCTTCTGGCTCATCTGGGCCTCAAAGTTGTCCATATGGGACGTGAGACTTGAACTCTGCTCAGAAGCGGCGTAAACGAGACCTGGACAGGACGTTGGCGCAGCCCTCTGGTCCATGAGGATGCCTGAGCCAGGGCTCTGGGGGATGGGAGAGCCGTGGCTGCTGTAGTTGTCGTACATGACATTCGGGCTGTGGAGGAACGGGATGTCGTCGCGAGGATAGGAGTGGCTCATAGGCGACATGTAGTCAACGTCACTGACACCCGAGGAGAGTGATTCGGGAATGGCGAGAGGGCCAAGGTGAGCTCCCAACTTTCGATAGCCGGGACCCTCGTTAGGTACGCTACTAGAGTAGGACAGGCTGCCCCAGTGGCCCGCTGACAGAGGAGGCGTGTTTTCGGGATGGGACATGGAGAGCATGTCGTAGCCGTGGGGATAGGGAGTGGTGGGAGCCGAGCCGACAATGTGCTCGGGCGAGAGGTCGACACTGCCGCGGTCAAGCCGGCGTGACGCCTCATCAGTATCGCTCGCATGTGCTCGTAGTCGTGGCAGTTGAGTTGGTCCGCGCCCGGCTAA